AAGTTAAATTGAGGTGGTGTATTTATAAATAAAAATTTCAGACTCTAAAGTGATACTTTATTCATTTGGACAATGAACATCCTGACAATGAGGAAAGAAATATTTTTCTCTCCATGTTTGTGGTATAGTGATACCATAGCAGAAGAGAAGAAAAATATTCTAAGGGAATAAAATATCCGTCACCATAACATATGACAGCATTAGGCCATGGGGCTGGTTTCCGGAGGCGGGGGTGGGACGGGAGTGGGGAGTTAGGGGGTATGGAGTGGTTAAGTGGTTAACTTAGGGTTATGTGTAAGGACACTGTGCCTGGGTTCAGATTTTATTCTGTCCAGTTACAAGCTAAGTGACGTTGGGGAGTTCCTTAAGGTCTTGGCATCTCAGTGTCCTTTTCCAGAGAATGCTGCAGTAGTAGCAGCTCATAGAATTGACAGGCAAATAAAATTAGTTATAACGCACTTGGATGGTGTCTGATGTATTAACTGCTGTGCATGTTTTTGCTGTGATCATGGCTGGTGGACCATGCCTGGATCCAGTCTGTTTTAATGAAACAAAACAGAATTGCAAAGCATTTTAGCAAATATTTTAGACTTTCTCCTACATATCCTTCTTGTGCCTTTACTCTCTGTCTCTTTCCATCTTCTATTATTTCTGGAAATTCTCTGAGCACCACCACGCAGGAACCAGTTCTCTGCATTCTTTAACTTCTCCTGCTAGTCAAGGTAGCTGTTCTGACTTTGCTCACCATGTGCTTCCTTCTGCCGTGAGGGTGCTATGGAGTCAAGAACAGCAGGGATCTGAGGTCCTGGTAATATTTAGCAACTTTGGGTTAAACTATTACCCAGGCAGGTGGGAGACGCATTTTCTAACCCATCTCGCAAGTCAAGGCCCTCTTGCAGGGTTGGCCTCATGGGCATGTGACCTGCACTGTAGCACTGGTCTGAGCACTCAGGAGGGCCCCAAGTTGGGTTTAATGCTTTGCTTTTGTCATCTTGAAATTATTAACTTACATTTGGACTTTACTTTTGAAAGCAAAGCCTGACGGGAAAATGCAACATTTGAGCAGAAGAAATACTTGCAATATCCATGCTGCCCATGAACATGGTTTTCAGTGGACCCCCTAATGTGTGGGAGTTCAGTGACTCAGAACAAAGGTATATAAGATCAGAACACTTTCTGGAATTGAGTAGGGGCCAGGGGCTCTGACCCCAAGACGTCCCTCTCCTTTTGAAGCAGAACTTGCTTCTGACACACACACCAATGATCAAGAAACACATATATCTTTCTAGTGTTAAGTTCCCTACATTTGCCTCTCATTTATGCTGAAAATAATGACATAGAATGAGAGAAAAAGAGGGCCAACAAAGTTGCTTTTTCCCAAAGTTTCTTTCTTTACTGATTTATAAACTAAAGTTGCAGTTGTAGGTGTAGAGAAATGAGTTAAAAGCAATTGAACTGTATTGTTTTTTCACTGTGCTGATAGAAATAAAATATATATGTGAATACAGGACATATATCACTTATAAAGTATAAATTGTATATTTTTGAGTTTCTACATGAGTTAAAGAATTCATGGTAAAATTTAAGTTAATGCTTTAAAATTTGATTTTGTTTTTATGTAGGACACTAAATAGCAAGTAAAATATCTCACAATAAGAGAGATTACAGAAAGGAGGAAATTGGTTTATGCATTGATAGCATTAATGGCATCACAATTTTTTCCTGCTTTTTGAGCAATGTACCCTCTATTTTACCCTACAAATGATCTCACCAGTTCTGCTTCTTCCTTAACTGCCTTCACTGCAGAAGTTGGTAGATCTGCTTGTAGGAACCAGGCTTCCTTTACCAACAGTGACCATGTAGCCAAATGCTAGTCTTTGCAACATCGCTGGCCTGTACTGACAAGCCTCAGGGAAAACCGAAACACTTGATCCAAGTTGCAGACTTTTGTTATGCTGCTTTTTCCCTTCTTTCCCTCCTTGTGCCTAGCAGATGTGGGTTATGCAATCATCTTGTGACCAGCAGTCAACAAACATGAGAAGGGAAAGCCAAAAGCTACAAAATTTGGAGTGAAAAGCTAAGAAAGCGTCTGTGGCCTTGACAACCACACTGAGCTACTGAGTCAATGCCATAAGCCATCAGCCTAGACTCCATGTGAGAAAAATACCCCCTACTCATTGCGGCCACTGTGAGCCTGTCTATGACCGTGGCCTGTCATGCAAAGAAGACCACTTCTCCTCCTGGTCCTGTCATATCCGCCACCGACCAAACTCTGCACCAGCTTCAGCTGGTCAGGGAAGTAGGGAGGCAAATGTCAGATCCACAGCTCCATTCCCCTCCTGTTTCTTCTCTGTTAACTCCTTGCAGCCTACCGCCCCCCACAACCAAAGATTCTACAGCTCTATGGATGGAGCTGGGAAGGCTAATTCTCAGTGAAAGAATTCAGAGAGAAAGAGAAAAATATCGATGGTTTCATTTATAGGAAGAATATAAAGGAAATAAATAAGGGATGGAAGGGGAGACAAAACTTGCAAAGTATAGATCTGAGGTGCACATGAGGGGAGGGGGAGGGACCACCAGAGGAGGAGAGAGCATGAGGGTCTGTGGTGATGGTTTGCGGGTGAGGTGGTGATGGGAGATTTACAGGCACTGCACCTGAGGGGAGAAAAAAGTACTGTACAAAAATAAACAACAAAGTAAGAAAATGTTAACGTTTAATAATAATAATAAAGATTCTGTGTGGATCAATCAGTGGAAGAAAAGCCTGGAGGAGGCAGAAACATTCCCAACATAGCCTCACCCACTCGGTCACCCTGTCACTTTAAGAAGAGTGATGATTTCCCTTTCTTACAATTAAAGTAATGTAACAGCCATGACACAGCCCAAAGAGAAGGGCACTGTCATGTAATTCCATAGTTAACATCATAAAGAAATCTCAATCTTGAGAACTTTCAGATTTTTTTTTTCCATTTCTTTGTCAGTATCTATCTCATCTTAGGTCCACTCAGAGAAGCCCAGTCTCTGCCACTGAGAAACCCACAATGGCTCTCTGAAATGCAGCACCGTTCTGCTTTCAGCACATAGTCGAGGTTTCGTAATTAAGTGCACAGTTCCAGAGGGGCAAGGGCAAACGAGGGGCTTGGTGAGCTGGGATGACACAGGCTGGCCCCTGTCCATCAGCATCACCATAATGAGGACAAGCTCCCGGCTGCTGCTACACAACCTTGTGTGTGGCCACATTCGGCATCTGAACTTACGAGTCTTAGTTATTTTTAATAGAAAGCAGTTTGTTAAAACATAACATTTCCCAGCAAGAATTAGTCATTATGTTATTTAGCAATCTCCTCTAACGGTAATAGCTTAAATATTTACCAGGACTTGGGGTAGGGGGAAACTCCAATCTTTCTCTCGAAGACTTTCTATTGAGCTTATTCCAGGAATGTGGGTCAGAGTCCTCATTCAACAGCTTAATGCAGAATGAATCAAACTCCTGAGCTAGTGACATTCCCTTTGTTCTCCCCCGTCCAGGCTGTCAGCACAGGAAGTTCACAAATGCATCCAGTGGGTGCTCCCTGGATCCAAGGTTAATAAGTTGAAAGAGGGGTTTTAAGTCACTGACTGAAAAGATCTCCCTACTGGAGTGTAGCTTTACTCTAAGATACCATGGGAAATGCTTCCTTAGGAGTTGGGGTTGATGGCAGTCCTATCAAAGCATGGATAACATGCCCAAATAAGATGGCACAGTGTGAAATTATGCTGTGAACAGTCAAGATTATCATGAGAACATCAATGTTTTTTTTTTCTTTTTGTATTGCTTTAATGTAAAAATTCAGGAGGCATGCTGCCTGTTACATTCAGCTTTTAGCTTAGATCTGTCTGATACTTATAGCCTCTTTCAGGGCAATAGGTTTATCATGAAAGCCAAACTACGGGCAAGCAGGTGAGAATTTCACTGCTTCTAAAGAGACTGGAAAGAAGAGGTGTGTTCCTGCTTTGCAGGGAACCTTCAGGAAGCACCTGAAGGTGCTCTGCTTGACCAGCAGCAGTTCCTGCTGCACTGAAGGGAACATTCTCCCCTGACACATGGGAGCAAAGGTTAAGCTCTGGGAAGAGCTTGTAGGGTCGGTCAAACAGATGGAAGGTGCACACAGGATCAGTGGATAGATACACAGCAGGACGTCTGGGTAAGCCAGATAAATTGGGCAACACTCTTTATCAGCAGCCAGCTCCAGCTCATCTGTGACTTATGGGAAGCCACATTCTGTTTCCCTATATTCTAATCATGATCAGAAAGAGGCTAAATATTTCAGGTAAGGGAAAGGGAAAGGTACTAATACTGAACTTCCCATAATAGTTAGACACTCATTGGTGATCCTTTCCTTACTCTAAGTTTGCTGTACTCCTTAGGCAAGTTAAGTTGAACACTAGGACCTCTAGAGCAAACCACAGCCTACTTTCAAGCCATCTTACCTGAAATTCAGTCTTCGTATGAGTAAAAGCCTGACCTTTGCCACCAGTGGAGAATGTTTAAGAGTGTCCTAAAGCCATCTGAGTATCCTGCCTCTCTCACCCAGAAGCTAAGTGGAGGGGCCTGTGCCAGCCTGCAATAGCCCACACAGTGGTGTTTCAACAAGGTTAAGTTTGCTCGGTACAGATAAGGGGATGCAGAAGGTACAAAGTATCAATCAATAGTTTATGAATAAATGATTTTTGTGCTAGAGACCAGGGGATGTTGTTTGGTGCAGGTCTTATCCATTAGGTAATTTCCTGGGAGGGGAAGATGTGGGAGAGAATAAGGCAGTGAAAGACAGCGAGTAATAACTTACTCATGGTCCTAGTTCATGGATTTTCAAGTTCTCTTCATCTTTGTGACAGCCAAGGAAATGCTGTAACTAACACTAGCTCACCTTACAGGGTATATCTGATAACTTGACCTAATATCTCAAGCCAAAGCAGGGGTCAAATACTAGAACAAACTGATGGTAACACATGCGTTTCTACTATTCCAGTTTATTGAAATGAGTAAATTTATAGCTTTATTTGCATACAGAAAGGTGAACAAGAAAGGAAGTATGTACAAAACAGTTGTGTGGCTGATCGTTGCTTTTGAAATTTTATCTGCTTTCAAAAATTCACTACCTAGAAATATTTGCCTCCAGTTTAGCACATTTAGGTACTTGATAATATGAAACACTATTTCAAGTCTGTGTTTAAGATGACTAAGAAGTCAGATGAAAATTATATCGTACATGATCAGCTGTTACCATCAGCCATAACAGCACAGGCTTAGAGCTTGTCCTACTTGGGGTTAATCAATAGAGGGTCATCAGGCCACCATCTGGTTTAGATCCTGAGCTGTCACCGTCTTCTTCCATGTTGTGGTTGATTAACACCCACAAAAACCTGAGCATTGGGGGGTTAAGAGACAACATTACAAAACCCAACATATACAAAAAGAAATTAACTCATTTTAGCAAGAACAAGCCCTTCAGAACTTTGCTAACAAAAGGACTAAAAATGAACTAAGAAAGTTTCCAAGGTTATGAGGAGAAAAATACTGCAGATACTAGATTTTCAATGATAACACTAAATACTTCTACAGCTTCTCTCCTCCCCTCCCATTTGTCTTCTGGAGACTGGGGCCTCCAGAAAGTTTTCCAGTCACTTTACAAGGTCAAGCGTAACCCGTAATGGGCATCTAGAATGTCTGACATTTTCACATTTAGATGTGTTGTTCTGCAGAATACAGTCCTTCATGGCTAACATTGAGTTCAGGTTTTCTTCACTATTAACTGATTTTCTGGAACTTCAGCTCAAAAGGAGGGTCCCCTCTTCCACAGAAAGGATAAAGGTTGTTCCCATTAGCAACTCTAGTTACTGGGGTTAGCGACTGCTGAGAAGGCAGAGATTCTCAGATCTGTGAATCATTAGATATATATATATTTTTGCCCTGTAAGACTCTGCTGCTTGTACAAGGTAAGTAATATTATATGAAGGCATGAGCAAAATTGATTGAAAAGAGAATCAAAGGGAACAGAAGCAAAGAGACAAATTATATTTTCTCCCACTTTGAAATAATTGAGAAGAAATTAGAAATGGAATAGTTGTGTCTTTGAGGGAAAAATGATCTTCAGAAAGAGAAGTTATATCCTTAAAAAACATCTTCCAAAGGCCTAGGGACAAGTTGGATTTGCATCCATTTTATTGTAAAAATTCTCTTTAAATGATGGTCGAAGCAAGATAGAAGAAAGTGTCTGGGTCTACAACACTCCTTAGGTTTTATGCTCTAACACAGAACCCCAAACAACTTTGAACAGTAAGAATTTTAATATTTATTCAAAATAGTGTGATCTGAAAGGTTGTGGTACTTGTATTTCCCAGAGGGTATCTGTAGATAGTTTTATAGAAGGCTCAAAGGATGCAATTGGCATGTATTCAAATAGGGAAACTACTTCATTTACATTTAAACTAGAGAGTTTAGATTCTTAATTTATTTAAAGCCATAGATTCAGATTAGCTTAAATCTAGACAGAAAGTGAAAGATATTTTACAAGTGGAAGAAGCAGCAAGAAATACGGCAGCAGATAATAATATGTCAAAGCTGGAACAAGGGCAGAAGTCAGGACTTGTCTGGCCATTAGCTTTGTCCTTGACTACTAAGGTCAATCTTTTGGTTCTCTGGGGAGTCAGCATGCCGGGTTCCTAGGGAAGTATAGACAAAGTAAAAACCCATGGTTAGAAATTTTGGATTGAATACCAATGTGTTAATTTGCAAGTCATTATTAAAATTATGCATATTAAAGTCAACAATAGTATCCTAAGGCAGATGTGAAGACTGAATAAGATAATAAATGTAGAACATATACAAAAGTGATTAATGGAAGTGCTCAAAATTTTTAGCTTTTTTCTCCCAAGAGAGGTCTCCTCTTCCCATCCCCCAATCTACGAGTTTAGCAGGTTGACCAAAATTACCCTTTTTTCATCTTCGAGATAAAATGATGAGAGCCTTCACTTGATGAAAGACTTTTGGGATTTTGGTAGTGGATAAAGTAGAGACATGTATTTGTGGAGGTTAGAACACATAATCCCTACAACAAACACATCGATGAAAATGAACTTTACTTCAATCAAAAAATAAAATGATCTAAGTAATGAGTCTTTATTAGGAGCTCTGGTCTTAAACATGTAGTCAGTGCTTTTATAGCATTAGCAATTACCTGGATGCTTGTTAAACAAAAGCTTTCCCAGCACTAAAGGGGATTCCTTAGGGCTGGGTCTCAAGAGTTTACCTTTTCAAAAATCTCACCCAGTTAGTTGGAGCAGATTTTATGGAAAAGTATTTTAAGAAACAATGCAATTATAGAACTGGGGAGAGGAGGAAAGACCCAAATTGCAAGTAATCTCAATCTTTATGACAGTTTATTTACCTAAAGTAATTAAATTATAGTTGGGTTACGTCATGAATGGGGCAAGACTGAAGAGAATAACTGGATTCTTTTCATTCTTTTGCTGTTCTAAGCCATCAGCTCTGTCCTACCTTCTCCAAAATGTGGACAGGACTCATCTTCCCCACAAACTTCAAGCTTCCAGGACAGAAAAAGCCTCTGACTGGTAAGAAAGATGTCACAATGGCCCTTCCTGGGTCACAGTGGGAGCTGGTTAGACCTGCTAACTAACCTAGGAGAAAGTCCTCTAGCCAGAAAAATCAACCTGCACAGTACTGAACCTGTACTGCTTTTGAAGAATATACTGGCAGCTGTCACCATTTTGGGGTTTAAAACCATCAGACTATTTCAGACTAATTTTGGGTCCCTTCACAAACAAATCTTGGTTGATTTGGGAGGTAGAAGACCTATGACTGTCCTCTGTTTAAATGGCCTGTCGTCTTCTGCTTTTGTACCTTCTATGGGAAACCAGTTACTACTAGGGCACTTTGCAAAAACTTCAATCGGAAGGTAACTAGAATGTTGTAATTATTTAGCTTAACTTCTATTTATAACTGACATAACAACACAAAGAATATAACAGAAGGCCATATCCTTATAGTTATGTTACTCTTTTTTGTAAGTATAAGAATTCTTAAATGAGTTAAGTATAGATTTCAATTATATTTATTTACTTGTAAGTTAAAGATTTAACTTTTCCCAATTCTAACACTGCAGTTTGTCTCTCACACGCTGTTGTACATTGTTTTCACCAATTCTCCCAAGATAAGAGAAATAGAACCTTCTACTTACGGAAGTTAGGCAAAAGGATTTCCAAAAGGATCCCTATATACATCAGAAGATGCAGGTTGAGGAGAAACCATCTAGGGAGATAAAACCATCCACTAATAGGTAAAATAGCAGTTATAAAAATAACCCTAAATTAAGATTTTTCAAATTCTTTAAAGCATTACTTAGGTTACATGTGAATGAGATATTGCAAGAAATTATGATGACTTATGTTTTCTTGTTAGAAACTGGTGATACACATTTATTATTTACATCTAGACCAAGGTTCAGGTGAATTTGTTTCTTCTCCCCCCCACCCCCGCCCCATAAATCAATAAATGGGGAGTATGATTTTATGAGCTAAAGCGGTATGGGTGAGAAATTAGTAATTAAATCTGGAAGATTTTTCAAAGAAATATTTTGGGGTCCTCTCTGGTGGTGCACCTGGTTGGGATGCAGCACTGCAAGCTAGCCTCAGCCACCTCAGTGTGAGTTCGATCCCCATCCCGGAGCTGACCCACATGGCACGGCAGACCTCTCCTGACCCGCCCGCTGCTCCCCTCAGCAGTGTTCTTCATTGATCTGCCTGTTCTGCTCCCCACTCTGTCTCTGGTGAAGCCTCTCACTGCCCCTGTACCTCTGGCCTATACCCCAGTTCTGTATGCATAAAGACATCTAATTTTTTTTTAAAGCTGATATTCTTTTTTAAAAAAGTATTTTGGTTTAATTTTCTCTCAAAATGTTCTTATAAGCTAGGTTAAGTGGAAAAACAAAGGATTTTCTCTATATGGTATATATTTATCAAAGCAGGATAGAAATCCTACAGAATAATCTTTTCTTACTTTGAGTTGATGTTTAAGTTGTGATGGTTCTCAATGATAAATTTGTTCAACCATGTTTTACCATCAAAAAGTCACAATACAAGCAGGGCTTATCCAGGAGGTGGTAGCTCTGTGAGGCACAGACTTTGGGGCATTCGCTGCTAGGGGTTCATACTTACAGAGGCTTGTGGTGAACTGAAAGAATCTTTAGAGAAAGGGTTCTCAAATGCATTGTCAGCAGATTTGGTAACTGGCGGGACACTTTGTCTGGGAGTTGGCTTTGGTGGTTCTGGAAGGTGAAAAATCCGAGATATCAGTTGACAGACAAGATATCTCCAAATATCGGTGATATATACAAGTCCTCTGGTAAGCCTATTTGAAATTTAGTTCCATACTTTCTGAAATTTCTATCAGTGGAACAAAAATCACTACCAAAATGCTAGTAACTCCAGTGATTATTACAGGCAAATTTATCACAGGAGAAGAAGCCAGGTACATTTACCTGTTGTGGAGGAGATTCAAGATTCCCCCAACTAAGTCCATGGAATATAATATGGTTGAGGCTTTATCATATGGCCCAGGTATCACCACCCGTTTTGTATCAATGACTTGGCAGCCTTGTTAAGCAATGTCACAAGAGGGCAGCATCGGGCCAGTCCTCAGAGGCAGTCAACTAAGGTAAATAGCATCATAAGTCAATAGTTGTGTCCATAACAGCTGCTTATAAAAAGATAGAAAGAAACAAGAAAGTTTTTGGTAGGTGGGAGAGGGTTCTACTGAGGGAATGAGGGCTTATATGACTGCAGAAGTACAGGCTGGTATACTTGGACTAGCAGACAGTGGTGTGGACAGCTTACCATTAATTTTTTGCAACAGTTGATTAGCATCAAAGTCATCATGGTCTGCATTCTCCTGAAGAATGCCAACTTTGCTGTTGAAATAACTGGAGAAGGCACTGGAAGTCCCAGAGGAAGACTGTTCTCCCTTCCTCGCAGGCACAGCAGGTGGTTGCCGCAGTTGGAAGTCTTTAAACATTTCTTTCACTTCCTTGACTTCTCTGTCCCCAAGAGGGTCCAAGGCAGTGAAGGCATCACTGGAGATGTCCTTTGGGGGGCCCATTCTGGGAGGTGGTTGAGGAGGAGTAGTCAGGAGAGAGGAGAGCATAGAAGAGGACTGGGCAGCTCCAGAGGGTGGTGGGAAAATATCCTGAAAAGGATTCCCCAAAGGACTTGTTGATGACCAAGCATTGGGTGCCACTGAGGCTGATGGGCCCCAAACAGCAGGGGCTGGAGGGGAAGGTGAGGCTGCATAGGATGAAGGCTGGCTCCAACCTGCAACAGCTGGGCTTGCGGAAAAAACGATTGCTTGGCCAAATCCTGCAGGTGGGCCACCCATCAGGGTTCCCGGAGCCACTGAAGTGGACTGATTGAAGACTAAAGATGCTGGGTTCCAGGGTGCTGCTTGAGTGGGTGCAACTGGGACACCACCTGAAGGAAGAGGGAGGGAGAGAGAACTTCTCAGAAAACAAGCTGGGGGAGAATTCTTGAGTTTCAGAATGAACAAAAGGGGAGGTTTTGTAGAAGCATTTCTTGGCCAACACCTTCAAGTTTTGAGCATGACATCAAAATAAGGGCTCTAAGAGATTCAACAATCACTAACCGTTAACTAGCTAAACAGCACAGCTAGCATTCCAGTGCTGGCTACATTTCAAAGTCCATATTCTTTCTGACATGATTTTTTTTAAAAAAACCTTCCCTCCTTCAAGTGTGCTGGACTATGGTGATGGCACACGGGTGACTTGGTGATGGCAAACCCACGAGGATTATAATTGAGATGAAAGAAAAAATGTACAAAATGATGTAAAAATAAACCATTATATTATTCAAAAACAAACAAACAAACAAAAAACTTCCCTCCTTCTATGAGTAGTATAGAAGATGGTATCTAGTCATAAAAAGCGAGTCTTTTCATATGGATGTAGACGTTGTACATACATGTATGTGTGTGTAGACAGAGTGCATTTCCACTAGAACAGAGCCTCTTAGTAGTATGAACTTATTTACTAAGTGGTATATTTACAAATACAAACCATGCTGGTTATGAAGTAGTTAATTAAGCTACTTCTTTGGGCACTTGGAATCACTGGTGTGAGTTTTTACTGCAGCTGGTTCACGTCTGGGGTCTGATGCAAACCAGCTCTCACGTGTGTGCACTCGGCTGCTACAGACTTGAGTCCTGAAGAAACCAAAGTTTCAAAGTTTCCTTGTTTTTTGCTTGCCAAGGTAGACACAGCTATATAAAGGGATGATAAAATGTAGCTGATGCCAAAATAGTTTTAGACTTTCATATATAAAAATAGAGGAAAGCCTGGTTATCGTGGGAGAGCTGTTTCAAATAAAAGTGCTTCCTGCCATGTGTCACTCACTAAACCTTGCCAGAAGTCAGAACAGAGCATTTGAAAGGGGAAGGGAGGGAGAAAAGATCATGTGAAGGAAGATACCTTCCAAGGTAACCCGCACCCTGTGTGCAGGCACCAGGGAGCTGTGGAGGAAAGGTTCTCTCTCCTTACTCTGCTGAGTGGGGCAGAAACCACTTAAATCACTAAAATCTTGTGGTTACCAGGCTTGTTCCCTCCTGTCTTTAAAGGCGCATTTCCTACATCTTCTTCTATTATGTAAAGTGTTTTCTCTCTTACCTCTTCCTAAGCATCAACAACCCAGTTAAAATGTCATCACCTGCAGAAAAACCTAAATTCGGCCTGGTACCTATTTACAAACGATGTTCTGCTCTCAAAACCTACTTCCTCTGAGCTTTGAAGCAGAGAGTTATTTAATTGTAAAAGTTTTCTCGCCCCATTCACAAAGGCTTTCAAACTTGAGTAAGGGATGTTTTTGTTTCCAGAGTAAGAACTATTCTGAAGAGGATTTTCAGAGATTAATGTGACAAGAAAGTCTATCTTGGAATTACTTAACATTGAAGACTGATGTACTTAACGCCAGCCCATCTGATTTTAGTGTGCTCATAGAGACAGGCGGTAAGAAGATTTATCATACAATTGGGAAGGTCGCAGTCTATGACAGTAGAGACTAAAAGTTGGGTGCATTGGGTCTGAATCCAGCCCCCCCATCCTGCTGTGGTACTTTTTGTCATCTGGAGCAGGATTTTGTTTTTTTTTTTTTAATGAAATGCTAATTCAAACACTTTCCATAGATACAAAAATTAGACTTAATTTACACTAAAAAAATAAGCATAGTCCTTTTATAACTAATGAAGGAGGAAATTCTCATAGGTTTCTAAAAGTGGGATTAGTTTGAATTAAGTCATTGCTAGTGTTTTTAAAACAAATCTACTTAAACTTTTTAAACCAAAGTCAGAGTCACTCACTAATAAGAACTAGGGTAGATTTTTATCATTTCTCTTACCATCTTTAGGAAAATGTGCGACTTGCGTCATAGACAGATGGTAGTGGAGTGGTAGGAAAAGAGAAAAAAACATATTTTGGGAAATTAATGACTTACTTAGTATATATTGATGGCAGCCTTCTTTCCCACCTACCAGATTATATACATTGTGTTTCCAAGACATTTAAGGCCCCTTGGGGAATGTAGGGGCAAGGAGGAGAAAAAGAGAGTGTGAGTATAAAATTTAATTTTATTACCTTCTGATGCTAGATTAAAATACACAGTAGTTAGTCAAAGCTGAAGACTCAGCTTTCAACAATAGTCTCTCCCCACCCCCCAGTTCTCCAGAGGAGACAGTCTCCCAGCTGGGTCTGCGGAAGCCAGACCTACAACCTTCCATGGTCTGGCTGAGGATCGCTGCTAGTGGACAGGGGCTATACTGTAGAGCTCAGTTTGAGTTCCATGTCCAAATGTGGAGGAGTCATCAGTATTCTGCAGTTGTCCCCCCCAATGCCTCACCAGGGGCACCTAGCCAAATCTCTTCCCTTCGTCTGAATAAATTAACAGTTATAGGGACCAGCTGTATTTTCAGGCTGACTTGTTAAATATTGGCTGTAAAATTTCTTCAGGGCATTGATATGAGACTACAAAGCTCTGTGATGAGATCTAGTCTTGGACACTACCTGCTAAGTCTCTACAGTTCTGTAAAGAAAAGCACAGATCAGCTCCACTTGGGGTGCAGGGAAAGAGGGATGATGAAAGGGAGAAGCCTCTAAGAGACATGCAGGCTGAGGGGTATTCTCTCAGTGGTGAATGCAAGTAGAGAGACAAGCTGGAACAAGTGGCCTTCTAGCACCCACAAGGATTTGGGCCATGTTGCAGCCCCCTCCTTGCCACTATGCTCCAGGGATGATTACACTGATTCAGTCATCAGGGCTCAAATAGCTTCTTATGCAGGGAAGTGGCAAGAAAAAAAGAAAGAAAAGAAAAAAAAAAAAAGAGTCCTGATGATAGACTGCAGGAAGCAGAGAAAGTCAAGTTTTACAAAGGTAAGGACAGCCCCTCTTCAGCTGTTCTTCCAGTACCCTCCAGAGCTGGGGTCTATGTGGAAGGTTGTACAGGTACTGAGAAGCAGAAAGGTGAAGGGAATCCCCATCAGCACGCAAACACTACTGCTGGGGTTTCCAGAAGCAAACTGTTTTGGAGGCTGTGGGCAATGAGCAATAGTGCCAGCTCTTGGAGTGAACTTCCCCACTGTCCTGCGGGTGGCTCAGAGGCTCACAGGGACTAATGAACATTTGGGAATGACGGCAGCAGCACTTCTGAGCTGTGTGATAAAATCCCTTATTTTTGTGGCCTTTTCAACTTCAGATTCTAATTCTTACCTACCAACTCTATGAAAACACTGAGCAAGCCAAATGGATCTGGGGATATACCTGTCCCACATATGCCCAGACGGAATGTCGCTCAGAACCTAGGATGTTCTATGACTTTCACTTGCTTTGGACTTAATTCCTGTTGGGAGTATGTGATTCTTCCAAGAGGCCTAGAAGCTTAAAAAGGTATCAAGCATCTGTCTGGTAATGACAAGCTTTACATACAAGACATGCATGTTGCTACTTTTTCCAATAGAGATAGGCAAATTTCTCTCTTCTCCAGCCTTTTTCCCTGTGTGAGTTGGTTCAGGTAAGTGCAAAACTGAAAATGGCTCACTACTCACTTGTCAAACCCAAGAAACCAAGTTGACTTACAAGTCAAAAGTAGCAAAAGGGGGCTGCTTCATACCTAAGAAGTGGGAGAAGGGTTCCTCTAGGATGTGCAAAGCATGTGCCCTGGGGACTTAAGGACATGAAGTGACTTCTTTCTGTGTGTCACCGTCTTGTGAATGGAAGTAATAGAGCGACCCTAACTCCACCTCTCACACCTACCTAGACCCGAAAGGGGCCCCCCTGAGGCAGAAGCACTTGTTTTGAAGAGATCCAGAGGGTTGGTCTGTAGGGCTGTAGATTGTCCTGTAGGTGACGTCTGGCCTGGAGATTCTGAGACGGGAGGAGCAAAGATGTCTGATGCAAGCAAGTCACTTGCTGGAGACTGACAGGCAGAGAGGGAGATACAAGAGTCATCAGTAACCATGAGATGTAGCTTATTCTGTTCCTACTGGGTACTTTAAGTTTGAGAACCATAAAAAGAAAATACTTTTCCTGTTATTGATAATCTATCATTAAAAAAGGGCAAAAAAAATCAAGAGAGACATCTTGCAAAGAATGAATAGCATATTGGGTATTGGTAGCTGACCCACGGAAACGTTGAAATTGAAATCTCTTGCTAATTTGCATATTTGTATCGGTATAGTGTCCTTACTAGCTAATAGCTTAAAGCTTTCAGAAAGCAAGGACAATTATAAGAAAGAGTCTGACTCTTTTTGATCATTCTGCTGGATTTGAAATCAGTTTGCATGAGATGATACTTTAGGCTAATCATTAGCTTGTGTATTTCGAAGAGAAAGACACTTAGAGGAACTACAATTTCAGTTGCTTTGGAATGCACTGATAATAAATACATACGTCTCTTACATATCTTCTGACAATGAATCACTCAGTAAGTATTTAAAAGAGGAACAAACTTAGGAGTTTGACACCACCTTGTACATTAATGCCTTGTGGGAGCTGTGCGGGGCATGTGTTAGTGTGGGGAAGGGCTAAAAGGAATCATAAGAACCTTCCCCTCCCCTTCCAGGACATGATGATCAAACTTACCCGAGGTACAGAAGCATAGCAGCATAAAAAAATGGAAACACTTGTGTTTAGTTAATAAGAAGTAACAAGACATGCAAACGGCAAGCAGGACGTGACAAACACTGTGGAGTAAGAAGCCATTAGAGGAAGGTATTCCTGGAGAACGCTGTGTCTTATCCCACCTTCTATTTACAGCCACACAGGAAACTGCAATAGCAGCAGGAAAGAGAGAACTTGCATCATACCACCCTTTGGTACCGAACATGCATTCTGCCAATGGTTATGTGGAGAAGACAATTCACCTTAGCAGTCCTTCTGCCTCTTCCTGGTTTGGTACTTTGTGGAGGTGGGATAATGGCAATGGAGTCTTGTGGTGAGGACTGGACAGAGCTTTCCAAGTCCTGCTTTACGCCATTCGGTACAGAGAGTCCTTTGACAGGGCTTCCCACAAAAGGGTTCGGGGAGGATTTGATATGGAAGCCGTTCTGTTCTCTTTCAGATACCCCATTTTGATTTCTCACCGCTGGCTGTGTTTGCGTACTTGAAAAGGGCCATGGGCCTGTCTGAGCTTCCTGTTTGCCAGTCCGGTTAGAGATTTGGTCAAACTGCTGACCAAAGTAATCAACATCCCCATTCAAGGGCCCATTACTCAGTGGAGAAGACAAGCTACTCAAATTCTCTTTCTTCTGATCTGGAGAGTTGTGAGAATCAAACGAAGAGGGTGTTGATTGGTCTGGATGTACAAAAGGATCATCACGGAAAGGATCAGGATTAGGAGTGGGGAAGAAGTTGAGATTGGCAGAAAAGGCATTTTCAGGCACAAAAGATGCCTGAGGTTTTGGTCGAGGGAGGGAACAGGAGGTGATGCCATTTGTTAAGAATGAATTTTCTCTTAAAGAATTCTGATTGGTGTCGATTTCAGAGTTTAGATCCACTAACAGGATATCTTTGCTTTCCTATCACATTTGGAAAGAAAAAAAAAAAAAGAAAGGGTTAGTCCATTTTGTGACTTCAAATGAGAAAGCTCATAAAATGACGGTGATTATCAAAATTCCTATCGATGTTTGATCTTGACAAACTAGATGACCATTATTTCTTCCTCCCATCACCTCCCTAGTTGTGTTTACTAGTTGTTGACTGGGTCTTCCTATTCCCATCTCGTTCCCTTTAAGTCTGATATTTACAGGTGAACTCTTGTTTACTTTAGTCAAGTCTCCACTTACCCTTTATAGACTGAGTTCATGATCATTGCTGTTTCAATTCATGGCTTTGAAAGTCTTACAGGGAATTTGTTGGGAGTCACTTTACTCAATGATCTAAGTATATTAAGCTTATCACAGGAAGAAATGACATCAGAAACATAGCTCAACCTCAGACTTGATAAGTTTCTTCTGTTGGATCCCCAACAACAAGTAACATTATCTAAGTGGTCAATCAACTGACAGACACATCCATAGTTTATAGTCCTAGTTGTGAGGAAATTTAAGGTCAAATACATTTCTTTACATGTGGCTTATCTTTGGAAGGTAGGCAAAAGATACCCCTTATACCAAAGCCTAATATATATGCCCTTGTAAATACTTAAGGATCTTTTTTAAGGTGTTAGCTAAGTTTTACCCTTATCACGCTAGTCTCTCCTTTGTACATACTCTTTGTTTACATTCTCTGAAGAAAGTGATACTCAGAAATGCAGATATAATCCAACATCATCGGTTGTCACCCATAGCTTAGAGAGGTCTACATTGTGACAATTGCCTCGTGTACTTAATGGATAAAGCCAACTAATCTTTAATTTCCATTTAATGTATATATTATGTATATTTATATATTATAAATAGTCTTGATATATAGAGTAGAGTGTGGTTTTATAGTTTAATTTGAAAGGCACATTAAATGTGTAACTCTAGAATCCCTTTGTATCATTTTTCTGGTCTGTTTACTATTTGGATTCTCAATTGTCAGGTAAGACATCTTCACATTAAAGTAAAAATTTGATAAATCTGACCTGTATTTATTCAAGGCAATGATATAAACTAGGTTTATTCAGGATAGAGCTACTATAAACTCAGGTCTTCCTTTGACTGATGTTAGCCAATTAAATACTTAATTATTATATCATAGAGGAATAGAAACAATGGAAAAGGCCCAGAAGAAATGGATCTTAGAGATTTAGCATTCCTAGCATTTCCTTGCACAGATTTTAATCACTGAGACAAACAACAACAACAAAAATTTTGATCACTGAGACAAACAACAAAACACCCTCAAAGGAACATAAAATTCTCAAACTAGGAGGTGAAAGGGGGGCTTGAATAGTCCTCCTTGGCTTTAAGAGAAAAAACCCAAATTTTTAGAAAGTTATGGATGGTCCTTAGTCAGACCTGAGTGGTATGTTGTTCTTTGGCTCCCTTTACTGTAAGGTATACAAACACGATTTTAAAAGTCAGGTATTTGTTTTTAAACCAGAATAATTTGTAAAACCAGAAGAAAGGACTTGTAATTAAAAAAAAAAAAAGCTAATCAAAGAAATGGATTGGAATATCTCTTATTGGAGGGATCCAAGCAATCAAAAGGTAGGACAAAATGTATTACAAAAGCTTGTGATTTCAGTATTTATTGATTTATTATGCGCCACCTCTGGGTTAGAACAGTTGGGTGTTCACAGCTGGTAGCGTCCTCCTTCTCAAATACTTCAGAAGAAGTTCTTAGGACACCAAACAGGGGCCACAATGTTAGACTTCTGAACAATCACCCTATAAGTAAAATGTATAAGGCTCTCCTCAGGTTGGGTTTGTTGTTATTCAACATTAAAAAACCTAGTTCACTGGCTACAACTCAAAGTGTTTAACTCCTCATCCATCCTCTTCATCAAGACTTCATTAACTCTTCATTGAATTATCAACACTGGCATCCTCTGAGCATCTGAGAGCCAAGCACCAGACACAGGAATGTGAACTTCAGTCCTCAAAGAGCTCCCAGAAGTGGGGTTCCCGGAAGTAGCGAACCACCGAAGAGTTGTCTGCACAAGTTGAACATTGAACCCTATACCCTCGCTGATCTCACCTAAAAGTTCTAACAGTTGAAGCCCATACCTGGGCTTCCCTAGTCAGACTGTAGTGGCTTCCTGACACTTACTTTACTAAAATAAACTTCATTAGATGAACTTTCAAAATACTCTACAGTAAGATTTAGCTTATTCTAGCCAACTCATTACTTTTCTACAGACATTAAAGACACAACTGAAATGAACATTCTTTATAAAGTCTTTTCCTATTTATTCTTGTATTTTATTTTCAATTGTGCCCATGCATGTCATATTATGTATCTATGAAGCATGTGCTTTATCTCCTGATTGATTTCTATATTAGGTTTAACTCCTTCATGTGGGCATCACCTTACAGTTTTGTCACGAAACTGTTTTCAGACTTAGAGAGCATGTTTTTCACACTTTTTTTTCCTTTTTTGGTTCTGTTTTGAGATATAAAATGGAAACGTATTGATTACTCAAGTAGTTTGCAATAAAAATTATGTTCTATGTGATGCCACTTAGTTTGCAAGGTGAGCTTTAATTGAAATGCCTGAAACTATTTTTAAAATTTGAGAAACAAGGTATATCAAGGAACCACTAATAGGTAATTTATGTCTAAGTAATTTATTTTCTTTTAAGCATATATTTGAGAAAATTATTGTAGGACTTGAATGTACATGTTCACAGATATGTAGAGATAAGTCCATTTATAACCTGTGTACATGGAATAAATATGTAAGTATAAACTGACAAATTTCAACCAATATATAATGTGTACTGTTAATGTTCTTTACTTATCAGGTAATATCTCCTTTGGTGGTATTTATTATTTTAATTTATTACTAGTTTACCTAAAACTTACATTTATTTCTATAAATTAAATTAAAATTCTTAGAATGAATTCTAGTATAAATGAGAAACAGAATTAGTCATGCAGTTTTTAATTCCTTCTTCAGAACTTTCTAGAAAACTATAGAAGGGTAAATAGAGTTTCCTTGCCTGGAATTCACATTTCACTTCCTATTTTAAGTTCTTTGATCTCTTTTGATATTACTGATTGAATGTTAGGTATACATGGAAAGCAGGGAATACACATTCTGATTCACTTTGGGGAGGGAGGTCATTATGGAGGACAACATTACCTAGGAATCAAAAGGACCTCATAGCTATGATGGGTCTTTCAGGGTTACCTAATCTGGTACTTCAAAAAATTTGTCCTTAGAATGGTACCAACAGGGAAAATAAAGTTTCTATAGATAAGTGACAAGCCCTACTGCTTAAAAGAATATTAAGCAGACTTCCATATTGCAGGCTTTGTAGGGCCTCTAAAAAGTTGTTACGCATTGTGAAATTTCATGGGCTTGGGGCTGAGAAGAGAGTACATAGCCCCTGGTCCTCTTGCATTTCATTGATCCTTTTATTTTTATTTTAACATTTTTTACTACTTATTTTATGCAGTGAAGTTTCATAGCTCTGGTATTCTCTGCAATACTTTGGGAAGTGAGACTCTTACCTAGGTCTTGATATCTGGCTGTTTGCATTTGCATCACATTAGTCATATATGTTTGTTTGACAATTTCCTGATATAGACCCCTAGAGGGATAATTTCTCTCCATTACTCTAGACTGATATCCTTTTCCTAAGTATAATTATTGCCGTCTTTTATGCTCATCTATTGCTATCTCTTATTCACATTCCAAAACTCACTTACTCAGGCATTATTCAAGCCTCTAAATGGTCATATAATAATACCCTGTAATTAACATCAATTGTGGGCTTTTTTGATTTGTTTTAATGTTGGGTGCTCCAGTTGATAATACACTCCATGAGGTCATTGCCATTGTGCATCTCACTCACTTCTGTGCCTTGTTAAGAGCAAGTACTCAAGAAACTGTTAAATAAATAATAGAAGCTGCAAGACATTGTTCCAAATGTCACATAGGTAATTTCACTTGAGGTCTGTTTTGTAAGGCCTGAGCACTTGGTCATAAGCCTTGAATCTGGATCTCTTACTGTAGTAAATAAGTTCCTTTCTGAACCACCATTTCCTTATTGGTAAAGGAAAATATCACTCCATTCTCACAGAGTTGTGATGGATCAGCTCAAATTAAGAAAATTCGATCCATTATGATAGCTTGTAAGGAATGAGCAATTTTGTTAAACATAACTTGTTTGTTTTAATTCTTACATCACACCAAACTTATGCTGCTAAATACCAATAAAGGGGAAAAGAAAAAAAGAGGCCAGAAGGCTTTACAAAGAATTATCTAACAAGCATACTTCCTTCAAATAGGCTTATGCCAAAGATTACTATTCAGCTCCTTCGGATCCCATATCATATCAAAAAGGACTACATTGCCTGACCTATTGCTCAGATTTAACTTCTGAGCAATATTAATATGTCTGAATGAGGGCTGGTAGGTTACAATGGTGACTTAAGATGTAAATTTGTTCTAGTAGTCATTTACATTTTCTGTAGAAAAATCAGCAGTCACCAAATTTTAGTGAGATAATCAAGATTTCCAAGTAATTGCCAATTTGATGTAAAGATGCCATTTCTATTACATTGCAAATTTAAAAACAGAGACTTACTGTTGGACTATTTAGGTCAGGAGGTGTAGACATGTCCCCAAACAAATCCATCTGGTCCACACCCTTAAAAAAGTATTTGAATTAGATTCAGATGTATCTACTAAAAAAAAGTTACTTTGTATATTTAAATAATTGTTTCCTAAACAAAAGTTTAGGAAAATATTGTCACAGCTGGATTTTCATTTAACTAATGCCGATTTGATATTAGGCTATTTAGGTCAGGAAGTGTAGACATGTCCCCAAACAAATCCATCTGATCCATACTATTAGAAAGGTATTCAGATTAGATTTAGATATGTCTACTAGAAAAATTATTTTGGATATAGACGTGTTATAGTATGTGAAGGAAACTAGATGTTGCTATTGAATTTTCATATAGATGCAATACAGATTTGGCATTAGCATTATCTATAGGAAGTAGAACTCGTATTCAGATAAATATTAGTCATAAGACCTCACATACATACCAATTTCAGTTTGTTAGCTTGCTCATCAAAAGTCAGTAGTGACTCGTTCCCATTCTGAAAAGATGGCAAATATTTAGGGGTTTAGAATTTAACTTCCTGCAGTACAGCTTCTTAAACAGTTATGATTTGGGCACCAATCCTTCCCTTGTACATCTCCATCATGAATACACAGTAATGAGCTAGAAGGGGTGCTTGGGTAGGTAGCTGACAAGGGCTTATATGCATCACATGCACATGGTACAGAAGTAAAGATGCAGCTTTACCTCTTCTACTTTGTTGGCTTCTTCCATCTAAAAAGAAAGACACAAATTCAGTGATCTTAGCAATTACAGTGAAAGAACATTCAATTATAGAATAATATACACATGACTTCCCAGGAAAAAGGGGAGAACCTTGCATATTATTTCTGCCCTATATCTCCACTCCCCTCTTCAGATCAATACTGGAAATAAATTGAGGTATGTGTAGCTCTGTATTTCCTTAGAATAAATGTGAATGTTCCAGGAACTAAAGACAAGAGTCAGGGACCAGAAATGAGAAGTGCCCCCATCCATCCATTGGTCCACTGGGAAGACAGACAACACATTTCTATCATTTGAGGAGCTGCATAGAAGCCAAATCTTTAGACAGGCTATCTGTTTACCTAACACTCAAACATGATCCTAGATACAGTCTTAAGTTTCTTAGGTAGATATAAGGTATTACTTGCCTTTTTCTTTTCTTCTTCCTTTTTCTTTACATTATAGATAACTTGAAAAAGATCCTTAAGATCAACAACTAATGGCTCAGCCTGAAGCAAGAAAAAGCATCTTAATCAGTATCTTAATCTTCTCATTTTCTCTCCTCTGTTCCCCATCCATTTTAATCAGTATCAATTCCTTCCTTTCTATTAATGCTCCCCCCGTTTATGGGGTTATCACCACCACCCCATCCCCAGATACATGGTGGATAACAGGGTTGATGAGTCTATAGACAAAACAAAAAGTACCACAGTCATTTGCCAAGTTCCTTAGTTTCTGGGAATAATTCACTGTTGTTGTAAAATCAACATTGACCTTATGAGAAAGTCCATTTTAATACTCCTTGAGTCACACATAACATGGATATTAATGACATTTAAAATAGATGTGCTAAGCCAATAAAAACAGTCATCCTCTGAATCATTGTTTATTTCCCACCTCTGATCAATTCCAGCAAGAACGCTCGCTGAGTGTCATTCACATCTACTATGAGGACAAGGCTGCTTTCAGAATTAGGATTATGTACAGGCTTAGGCCGTACCTGTTGCCCAGTTTTTATGGCAAAAAACTGATGCTGGCCTTCTCCTCCACACACATAACCAAATGCCCGGTTGTCTGTCACATCACGGGCAATAAAAGAAATCTTATTTACTGGATGCTCATGTTCTATTACCTGAAAAAGGAAATAAAGTTATTTATTGAGAAAACCAGAATGCATCTGCAAGGTAGTACAACAAGCATCAGATTCCTAGGCATATAGAAAAAAAAAAGAAAGAAAGAAAACATTTAAAGAAAGATATTTTTGCCTTTGGTAGTCAGCTAGAGATACATTGATCCTTGCTGGGAAGCACTCCCCAAGGAGCAGGGTAGAAATAAACGTTGGTAAAAATGTTCCTTCTTAAAATATTGATATTTCATTCTTTCTCCATCAAAGACATGATACTGCATAGCAAGGATACCCTGAGCATAGGGGAGGTCAAGAATTTCTAAAGTGAAGACGGGGACACATCCCTAAATAAATTCAAGTAAGTCTACTTTCCCAGCTCAAAGACAAACTCAAGCAAACAGCACAACTTAGCAAGAAGAGTCACCATGGGGGTAAAGAACAATGACTCAGTGGCCAGTGTACAGTCCAGCATATTCTAGAGGTGACCACGTGCTGACATCAAGCATTTCTCAACCTCATACCAATGACCATCATCATTATCTCAGAGCTACACGGGCTCCCAGAGTTACACTGGCTTAGTAGCACGTTTTCTTTATTCCTTCATCAATTTTTCTTTTGATCTTTTGAAGCACAAAGTAGGACTCAATGCTTCAAAGGTATTTGTAGATTGGCAGAATGTGTCTTGACTTTTGTTTCTAAACACCAAAGGCCACTGACAAGTTTATGCTGGGTATGTGGGAAGGTTTGAGGGAAACCTGCCGCCATTCTCTGATAGGCTTGGGGAAGTCAAGAGACCGGAGAGAATGGAGACTGTGGCGCCTGTGGACAGCAGGAGGGGTGAGCAGGAGGCTGGGGCTCTATGTTGGATGATGCAATTTGGGCTTTAGGAAATGGGTGTCTCTAGGATGGGGAGAAATAGTGACTGGAGAACTTCCCACCCTTGAGTAGAGGTTAGAGATCTTCTACTCCTTGATGAAATAAGAGTATTTCTATAGTCATGAAAATGAACTAGAGATGACAATATCAGTGGGTGAATGTCAAGATATTTGTGGAATAGAGAAAAAATGATCAAGAAGATATGAAGTATGATAGCTTTTTGATAGGAGACACACTAAGCAAGCAAGAATGTTTAACTACGACAGAAACAGCAAGCGCAAAAAATGAGCGAGATTACATCTTTAGAGTAACACCATTTGCCCTGAGGAGGAAAGCAAAAGAAAGAATAATAATAAAATAAAAAAGGGTAGATGTGTTACAGGTAATATTCTAGCTTTAGTCAATACATTTACTTGTTCTCAATATATTATTCAATATATTAACTAAGGAATGAAACCCATGTAGAGCATGACACACTGTTAGGATTAATCTAGTTCTGTTTACTTTGGGTCAAAATAAAGCACCCACGTGATATTTACAGAATACCTGTACTCACAGACTGGAGACTCACATTCACTATCTGAGGTTCATGTCAGTTAAAAAATATGGTAGGAATCTCAGGATGTTTTCATTCCTTACCTTTTACTCTTGTTTTCTGTCTGTTACTTCAGGAAAACTTATATAAAAATTTTTTTTTCTCTACAGAATTTTTTAAAGGAAGAAAGGGAGCTGGAGTTTAAGTAGCAAATTATCAGATTCCGGTGGTCAGAAAGGTGTCAGTGAATTATTTTTATTTTTATTTTTTTGACAAATCAAGCAATAATTAAGGCTTTTAATATTGAAAGAATTCTTTTAGGATAAATTTTTATCAACCATAGATTTGTCACTGCAAATCACTCTAAATGCAAACATGGAGAAAGAGTCCAATAAACATATGTTTGCAAGCTGAGTTATTGTTTCAAGAATCTCAAAATGCCTGAAGTAAGGGGCCAAGTGTGTTAGTGAACACAGCCATCATTTTCTAACGATCTCCTATGAAAGTAAATTCTTACCCCAGTTTTCTCATCGATTATTTTTATCCCAGAAAGAGAAATGTTGACCCATATCCGTTGTTTGTGTTGTCCCTGAGACCGACCAGCTGCCGCCATCCCCTGGTAAGATTGGGAAAACAAGAAAAATCTAGTTAAAAGTGCCTTAAGGGGCCCTCCCTGTTAGCAAATCATGTTCGGCTGTAGCACTGCAAGCAAGCAGCAGCCACCTCAGAGAGAGCTGGATCAGGCCTGGAGGTGATGGTGCAGCAGACCTCTCCTGTCTGGCCAGCTGCCCCCCACCCCCCAGCAGTGCACTTCAATGATCTGCCTGTTCTGCTCCCCACTCTGTCTCTGGTGACTCCTCTCACCCCCTGCACCTTTGGCCTGTACCCCAGCTCTGTATGCATAAATAAATAAATCTTGAGAAAGAAAGTGCCCTATAATATACCTCATGCTATCGTTTTAAAAGACAGTGAACATTGTTTTCAGCGTGGCTTCCACCTATGAAAGATCTCACCCTATCCTGAGAGACAGCAGGGTGTCACAGAAGGCAGGACACGCCGCCAGGCTACGTGAGCCACGGTGCTGTTCTGGTTCTCTTGGCCTCAAAATAGTCCTTCATGAGAGGAATGGCTTAGAAGATCTTCAGAGTGGGTCCTCCTAGACCTTATTTTAGCTAACAAGTATTATTTATTTGATTCATTGGTGTCACATAGTGAGAGAACTAGGATTCAAAAATTCAAAAACCTGTAGGATTGACTGAGTACACCAGATTCAAGGTCGAGTCCTGCATTCTGCCTGAAGGGTCCAGGGTTTCAAATATGAGTGTGTCCACGGTGAAAGGCATCTATAGGGCCATTCCATGCCTGGTGTAATCAGGTTTCTAGAACAGTACTGAAAACATGACTTGCATGGCTTCTTATAAAATGAGAAAAAAGTATCTAGCCCCTGGGTTATAAACTAATTAGAAAAATTTTCTTTTCAAATAACTGTGAGCTAGTTAAGTGGGAATATTTCCTGTTAAACTTTTGCTTAAGACGGAGACAAAACATCCCTTCCTCCTTTACCTTTAGTTTCATCATAGAATCTTGGCTCATTTTATCACCTCTTGCATCTGGCACATCATCAATACCAATTAGTTTGGCCTTGTATTTTACACCATCACCTTTGAATCTGGCCAAGAGATATTCATCTGTCTTTTCAGAGCCTGAGAAGAGAAAGAAAATTTATAATTATAATTGTATTTAAATATCAGCCAGTATGACCAAATTAGATACATATTGTCCAAATGTAAGTAGTATGAATATACTACAACTGAGTAAACATACTGTATCCTACACTGCCTTATTCTTCGTTTCTTTGAGTAAAATCATGTTGCATAATCTTCTGTGTGTGGCATGAACACAGGGAGAAAGTAAACTCTCAAAGGTGGAACATGGATTGAATTATGGGAAATTTATGGGGATAGGGAGGTGGAGTATTTGGGGGATATTTATCACCATTTTTAAAAAGACTTTTTAAAAAAACAACTATAAGGAAGGTAATAGTATGTTTAAGCATAAAAATAAGTCACCACATAACGTACTTAATATTTTTCACTGTCAACAAGGCAGAGGAAATTATGATTAAATACTTCAAAACACCGTACTGTAATTATCCCATCTTTATAACTTCTGTTGCTTCTCTGAAAGGTCTGTGCCTTCTAGATAAAGCTTAGAAGGGGAAGGCAGACTGGCTAATCTGCACACATTTTCAAGGTATGGAATAAGGAGTCTGGAGATTTCTAGTGCAATTTCAGGTCCAAAAAAGATGTTCTTATGCAATGAAGTTTTGATGTTTACAAAATGGCAACTTCAGTAAAGCAAAGTGGTAGATAGCTTATGGAAGGATAATCATAGAATAACTGATAGCTGTGTTTTTTACTGAGCAAGGTGTTCTGAAAGCTTCCTGGCAATGCCTCTCTTGGTGCGACCACCGGATTCAGAGGTAGGTCTCCTGACGTATGGAAGGGACCCATTTCCTCTGCTAATCCAGCTGCTTAAGTAGAAAACCTGAGACTAAGCTGAGGCTGAGGCAAGCAGAGCCATTCTTTCTTGATCCTAAACTCCGGATGCCTTCAGCGGAAGCTGTATTAGCTCCCCTTGTAACAGGGTCCCCAGGCAAAGGGGAGGTTCCAGGTTCTGGGCCCCACCCAGAAGGAGGGTGGAGCTGAGCTGAGAGAAGAATCTGGAGAGGAGACTGAAGAGGAAGGAAGTAGGATGGAGGCCAGAAGGAGACCTGAGTGTGGCACACGGAGCAGAGACATGTGGAGAAACTGTGCTTGCTTCTTGCTCCCCAACTGGTCGATGTGGGTGAGAGACCCGTGGGGAGATTCCCTGTGGCAGCGCTTACCTTCACTTCGATTTTGTTCTTTTCCTCCCACACTTGTCTGGCCATTTCTGACCCTTTTCTGCCAGAAGGTGCTTTAGACTCATGGCAGCTTTCAGGACTTGCTTTGGACCAATCCCTTTTGGGTGGACTTTTACCCACGAGGGGATGGGTAACTCTGGGTGTTTAGAAACTAGATTCTTTGTCTTTTCTACATTGCACACTCATTGTATTAAAGTTCATTTCCATTAAAAGTCTTACATGTTTTATCTTGATGTGGAGGATGGGAGAACCCATTAGATAAAGCAGGCAGGTTTGGGGGTTCAGTGGTGCCCTTCTCCCTGCCCTGTAACACCCTCATTAGCCTCTAGGGGATTTCTCCTTACCTTTCTTCTTTTCTTTCTTGGATGGAGCTTTCGTTGCAGACTGCTGCTCAGGCTGACCATTCGTGGTGCTGGCTTCCACTTCGTTAGACATGGTAAGGAGGCAGGCAGCGAACTCACAGCAGCGGACACTCAGTGACACCAGGCGGTCCCCAGTTGAGATGTCTCAAATGCACATCACCCACCACAGACACCTGCAGGCCGGGTTTAGAGGCATAAAGAGATCATAACACGGCAATCCCAGACTTTATGCCATAAAGTCCTTTGACTAGTGATTCTTGACTACTGTTTTTCAGACTCATTTGGCTCTTTCTTCTCTACAGGACTGAATTCTGAAAACAGGAGAGTGGGTAGAGTTGTTTGTTTTGTAATTTCTAAAATGAAAAAAGGGGCATATCAGATTTTCTTTTCGCCATCAGTATCTGGTACCATTTAATGAGTATCTAACTGAGCAGTATGTATTGGAACATTGGCAAATAAATCCAGTATTCGAGAGAGATCAAAATGGGTCAAATGTAGAAAATAAGGGTTAACAGCCAAACAGAAATAAAGTTAATGCTGAGCCTGGTAGGATTGCAACTGGCATCTGAAACTGAGCATTAGAAAATTCAATTCTTCAAACCATCACTTAACTATAAAAGCAAGAGTAGAGTTGCGAGCATTGTCATTCATACTGGAAAACACTTTTTCAAATGTTAGGACTTTGCATATGAGTTTCTGTACTTACTCTGTCCAAGCAGCAGAATTGAAAAGGAACCCTGTTGTGACATGAACACTTCCATTCAGCAGGGAGAGAATGAATGAATATGTGGGGTATCAACTCATAGAGTGCAAACATTTTCTGCTCCTTTTTAGCATGACTAGCCTCAAACCTGCTGTGATGTGTGTTCCTCAAGCTCCCTCCCCTGTGAGTCAGGGGAGGAAAAAACAGAAAAAATGCAGAGTCATTGTAAGCACACAGAAGTTAACTAACATTCAAAAGATTCTTTCACCTCCCAGGAATCAAAGTTTCTGCACAATTTTAGGGAACCCAGACAAAGGTTCACTTTCTACATGGACTAAGGACCAAAAGCAAAGAGAAACCATTTGCTATTTTGAAATGTTGTTAAGACTGTCCATGCATACATTAGTTTACATGGAGATTTCTCCTCCTACCCAGAAAAAGCCCTCCTAATGCTATGCTGAAAATACCCTTTTATTTGAGATTTTTAACTCAAAGACCAAATCCACTGCATGGGCTTTTATATACTTAGTTATATATTTAAATGATAAAAATGTAAGTTTCAAGTTTTCAGTCTGTTTACTTGGCACCGAGTTTGCTTCATAAATGTCAATGTGTTTTCCTGCAAGTCAGTACATAATCCCTCCCCCCATCATCTTTAAATATACTTACAGTGTAATTAGACTTTAAAAAAAAACATGCATACATAAATATGTCAATCTACATATGACCAATGCTGTCTGAACTATTTCATTTGGAGATTTAGTCCTGAGTTTGGCTCAATGACACCTGATGAAAGAGAACTCAAAGCCCTATTTATTCCAGACTGAGCCGGGGAGCATGAGCTGATGTTTTTTTTAAGTGTCTGCACTCCAAAAAACTTGCAAGAACCATGTAAGTATGATGATTTTAGTTTTCCAGAGAGAAAGTCAAGACAGAAAAGTATTAAATTACACAGCTGTGAAGCAGAGGCTGATTCTACCCCAGGCTGTCTGCACAGCCAGACTCCCCTAGCACTACCCTGAACAATCACTGAGAAGCCTCACTCCAGCAACAGAGGATGTTCTGTCATATACCTGTACAACCTCTACCACCACCTCTAGAGAGAAGATATGGCTAAGTCTGAAGTCCTGAACTTGTGAAAGTGAACTTACTTAGAACATGGGTATTTGCAATTTTTGTTAAGTATCTTGATTTGGGACTATCCTGGATTTATATGTGGGTCCTAAATCCCATAACAGATAACTTTATAGAAGAAAGACAATGGGAGATTCCAGACACAGAGACAAGCAGGGAAGGTGACGTAAAGATGGAGGGGGAGAATGGACTGGTGTATCCACCAGCCAAGTGCCAATGTCCAATCAGAAGTTAGGAGAGAGGCCTGGAGTGTTCACCCTCAGAGTCTCCAGAAGAAGCAAACCTTGCTGACATCTTCCTGTGGGACTTCTGACTCCCAGGACAGGGATAGACGATCACCTGGTGTTTTAAATGATCTAGTTCTTGATAATTTGTCATCTGCCTATTCCCTTCTCAAAGGACTACTCTACTCTAGTCTCAGAAAGTTAACTCTAGCTACTGGATGAGTCTTCTGACTAAATCCAATTTCTTGGCTTTCCCCTTTTTGGGGGTGTCCTACTGCATACCTAAGTCACCTATACCTTTTTGTGAAACTCTTCCAAGCTTGTTTCCATGACATTCTGGAATTCAGCCCATAGCTTGTGCTTGCTGAATTGGGATGATCAGGATTTTTTTTTTTTTAGTTATTACATTTTTCTAAAATTTAGAATAACTTTCGAAGACTTCTTAATTTTCTTGTGGTAATGTCATTTGCTTTTAGGACAAAAATTAAGACTTTTATTTTGCATAAGAGACTCTTAGATATTTTGCTCCTCTATGTCTTCAAACTCCTTTCCCTTCACTCCTGTATTCCAGTATCTATCAAGTGACTCATGTATTTTAGGGCATGTTTTCTTTTACACTTCCTATCTTTTAATATTTCCTGAGTTTATCTCCCACATCTTGTCCATCCCAATTGTCTATTTGCCCCTGAAGACTGCCAGTAAGATCTTTCCCTGAAGATTTTCCTGCTGCTCTTCTAGTTTAGGTAGAAAAATAACCTGGCATAAGTTTGTTGATCATCTTTGAAATCTGATATTTTATTTTTCTGTGTGGTGTTATTTATGAGAGGAAAGACTTAGCTCATTAGACTTGGCAAAGTTTATTCCAGAGTAAGAATATTTTAAAGGCATTTAAGAAGTGTCACCCAGTACTTTGAAGAGTTTGGAAGGGGGAATGATGGTGTGTGGTTAGTCATAAAGTTGTAAAATACATAACACATTCAGAAATTTAGACCAAGTAATGAATCAGTGTGGGAAGACTGGGCCAACGGGAAATGTTCTAAAGTGAGTGATACTACCTTGGTTTTACAGAGAAAAACATCTCTCCTCAGATACTTAGGTACAACTTCTCACAACACTAGGGTTGTTTTAAAGTTATTACTACCTTCTAACTATGTCTACTTACTGTTTGGGGATGAGTAGTTACAAGGGACAAGGGGAGAAAATGGAGGGAAAATCTTCTCCAGCACAAATTCTAAAGAAAAGGTATGTACGTGTGGAGCTTCGATAACCAAGTGGAGGGCCCTGGCGCAGCTGGTTAAAGCACAGCACTCAGAAGCTAAAGCCACTTCAGCATGAGTCCGATTCCTGCCTGCCCGAGGTGACCCACATGGCGCGGCAGACCTCTCCTGACCCACCCACTGCTCCCCTCAGCAGTGTACTTTGTCAGTCAGTCTGTTCTGCTCCCCACTCTGTCTCTGGTGAATCCTCTCACTGCCCCTGCATCTCTGGCCTGTACCCCAGTTCTGTATGCACAAATAAATAAATCTTAAAAAAAAAAATAACCAAGGGGAGGTCAGGCAATTTAAAATGTCCCTATGTTCCCTGAAATGATAGACAAATGCCTTTATATGAGAAAATGTTAAAGACTTGTGAGCGGTTTTAACAGAAGTAGACATCCAATTATGCAAAAACCAGGTTGATAAACATGCACCTTTTGTCCAAGGTTGGAAGAGCAAATCTCTCATTACAGACTTGCTAAAAATCCAAGTTACCATTTGACATGTGGGACACAGTAGTCTTGCTTCCAGATATAGAGCCCTCTACAGAGAGTAATTCAGTTAAATCCAACATTTGAAATTCAAATGCTAATCCTTCTAACAATGTTATAGAAATGTCAACTGTTCTCATAAAACTTTCAGTGGATTTTATAAAGAATTGATATTTTAAAAATAATAGGGCATGGAAAAGGAACTGAAGTTCAAAAGAAATCCTTTTATTTCCTTTGATTGCTTTCTCCTATAGGGCATTGTTGAATAAATGTCTAGATTACATTGTGTTATGGTTTAGCTTTAGCAAAATAACTGAATTTTGCTTTTTATTTTATAAATGGGAACAAATCTTTTAGAACAATCAGGATGCATTGTTTTCTCATTCATTGAGGTCCATCCAGGGACCCTTTTCATCAAGGAACACAAAATGAATCAGGAAACACACACAGGGCTGTTATCATAAGGCAGGGATTATAAAGAAAAAGTAAAAAGCATATACCAAAGGTCACATGAACAATTTCCCAACTATGCTTAGCTGACTATTCTAGTTCACAGGGACAGGCTGCTTCCTTCATTAGAGGCTTGGAGTTTAAGATGAAATATGACAAGATTTATTTCCTTCTTAACACCTAACATAGGACAGAAAGTTGTGATTAACTCTCTGCTAAGTCAATAAAATCAGCTTTCATTTGAGTAAAGAGCTCTAACTTGGGTTTTTCAAGCCTCCTAGAAAGAATGTGGGGACTTCCCCTTTCCAAGGCACAAGAGTCAGTTGACTGGGAGAGATTTGGGCGCTTGCAACATCTGTTTTGGTTTCTAAGGCTCTAAGAAGTACATATCAGAAAATGCATGAGTCATCTTAGGATGGCTATGTCCTTTGTAAAAATCTGCTCTAATTTGTTTAACCCTTGAAGTGATCCAATCAAGATGTCTAGTGTTTTGAAGCCTAGAGTACCCAACATAAAGACAAATTGTGTCTTTAGGGATGGATTTGGTTAGTACCTTCTTATTCTAGCTTCCTCTTTCCATCAGTAGGAATGGGTTAGCATCAGTAGTGATACTACTTAGTGATGCCAAGGTTTGAAGGCTATACCATGAGGCAGGTTTGCCATCTCCCGCCCAGCCTGCCTTCTCACCCTCGTTGTACAGAGCAGGGAGGAATGTACTCGCTGAGTCTCAAAATGCTGATGAAAGGAAAAGCTTGAGTTAAGGGCTATTTAATGGTAGCTCCATTGTACAAATATTAACAAATCTGTTCTTAACATTTAGGGGAACAACACCTCCTAAACATTCAAAATATTTATACTGAGGGCCCTCCCTGGTGGCACATGAGTTAAAACGCAGCACTAGGAGGCTAGCTGCAG